TAAGTGCATTTAGGCATGATTTAAGATGCATTTAGGGTTAATTTTGAGTCACACATGTTCAGCCAAGGTGGCGTCAAACATGTGACTCAAAATGTAACTTAAATGCATCCTAAATTAAACCTAGTTTAACCTAATCCAAATAAACTACAAATCCTCCTTAAACCCTAATCTAATGACCTAAATACAATGGTTAAGAAAATACAATGAATAGGAAAAAATACAAGAAGAAGAATGAGCCCAATATTGGGTATCAAAAGCCCAAAGCTCATGAAGCCCAATTACAAGCCCAAATTACACAAACCCTAATCTATGGTCAAAATACAAGACCAAAATAAAAGTAACTTCCTATTCTAAGAATGTGCTTTATAACATGGTGTTCAATCAAGTGTAGTCCAAGTAAGAAGCACCCTAGGCCCACCAAGCCCATTGGGCCCACTAAGCTCTAAAGCTGACAAGTCTTCAAGTAATCTCTTGGCCATAGCTCTAGTGGTTGGGCCTTTAGCCCATGCTCTTCCATCAAATTCTTCCCTGCATCCAGGACCACTACAATCCGGAAGGACATATATGGAATTAGGCAACTCACGGGAGAGAGCTTATACGAGTACTGGGAGAGATTCAAGAGGTTGTATGCTAGCTGCCCTCACTATCAAATGTCTGAGCAGCTATTATTGCAGTACTTCTATGAGGGGTTGAACGTAATGGATAGAAGCATGATTGATGCAGCTAGTGGAGGAGCTTTAGGAGATATGACACCTGCTTCTGCTAGAGGGCTGATTGAAAAAATGGTGTCCAACTCACAACAATTCAATATGAGGAGTGATGCCATAGTTGTGAGGGGTGTGCATGATGTGGTAGCCTCAGATTCCACTGAACACAAAAAATTGGAAAGTAAGATTGATGCTCTCACCACCTTGGTTTCACAACTGGCTGCAAATCAAAAATCAGCTCCACCACCAGCAAAACTATGTGGCATCTGCACTTCAATTAATCATCCAACAGGACCTGTTCAAGAGTCTTGCAAGGAGGGACAAGCATCTGTTAAAAACATCTACAATAACAGACCAGCGCAGCAACAACAGCAGCAGAGTTATGACCTCTCCAGCAATAGGTACAATCCAGGTTGGAGAAATCATCCTAATCTTAGATGGTCTAACCAGCAGAGACAACAACAGCCATCCCCTCCCTTCCAAAACAATGTTGGTCCTAGCAGATATGTACCTCCTCCTATCCAACAACAGCAGTAGAGACAACACGAAGCTCCTGCACCACCAACTCCTCAACCTTCTACTTCTGAACCTTCATTGGAGGAGTTAGTGAGGCAGATGACTCTTCAAAATATGCAATTCCAGCAAGAGACTAGAGCTTCCATACAGAGTTTGACAAATCAAATTGGTCAGATGGCTACTCAGCTAAATCAGGCACAGTCCCAAAATTCAGACAAGCTACCTTCACAGACTGTGCAAAATCTGAAGAATGTGAGTGCCATCACCTTGAGGTCTGGCAAACAAATTGACATACCACCACCTACAGCTGTTGCACCTCCACCTGAGCCTACACTTGAGAAAGAGAGCCATACAGGTAGTAGTCGAAATTTACATGCAGGTGGACCTTCTTCTTCCAGTACACACAGTGATGATCTACATCAGCCTACTATCCCTCTTCCATTTCCACCAAAATCAATTCCAACCAAAAAGATGGAAGAGGTGGATAAGGAGATATTGGAGACCTTCAAGAAGGTGGAGGTGAACATACCTTTACTGGATGCCATCAAGAAAATTCCCAGATATGCTAAGTTCCTGAAAGACTTGTGCACCCACAAGAGGAAGCTGAAGGGCAATGAGCGAATCAGCATGGGCAGAAATGTCTCAGCACTCATAGGTAAATCTGTTCCACACATTCCTGAAAAGTGTAAGGACCCAGGTACATTTTGTGTACCTTGCATTATTGGTAACAATAAATTTGAAAATGCCATGCTTGATTTAGGAGCTTCAATTAATGTCATGCCTCTGTCTATTTTTAATTCTTTGTCTCTTGGTACTTTGCAACCTACGGGTGTGGTCATTCAGTTGGCCAATAGGAGTGTTGCCCACCCCACAGGTTTTATAGAGGATGTCTTGGTTCGGGTTGGTGAACTAATTTTTCTCGCTGATTTTTATGTTCTTGATATGGAGGAGGGATTCTCCCACGGTTCTGTCCCAGTCATTCTAGGCAGACCATTTTTGAAAACAGCCCGGACCAAGATTGATGTTTATGCTGGCACCTTGTCTATGGAATTTGGTGATATTATTGTTCAGTTTAATATTTTGGATGCCATGAAATTTCCTTCTGAAGCACATTTTGTTTTTCGTGCTGAATTGATTGATGATATAGTTGATGAGCACATTCATGATTTTGAGTCTTCTCATGCTAAGAAGCATTCAATTTCACTTGATTTGTATAGCTGCCTTTCATGCATTGAGTCTGAGTCTGAATCTGAATGTCAAACTGATTATGAGGCATCTGAATTTGACACTTTGGGTGTTGTACCTCTTGCTCTTGATTTTATACAGTCAGAATGCACTAACCATGTTGTAGGAAGTACAAAAGAATCTGACTTGCAGGTTGAGGTACATGCTACGGAACCACTTCTCCCTTCTTTGGTTCCTTCTGATGTTCAGCCAGCACCCACACCAGAGTTGAAGCCTTTTCCAGAGAACCTCAAGTATGCTTACTTGGAGGATGATGAGAGATTCCCAGTGATTATATCCACATTCCTTGATGCTGATCAAGAAGAGAGGTTGCTGCATGTGCTTTGGAAGCAGAAGAAGGCAATTGGTTGGACCCTAGCAGACATTCCTGGCATTAGCCCATCCACATGCATGCACAGGATATTATTGGAGGATGGAGCTAAACCAGTGAGACAGCCTTAGAGGAGACTTAACCCGGTGATTTTAGAAGTTGTGAAGAAAGAGGTGACCAAGCTTCTACAGGCTGGGATCATCTATCCCATTTCAGATAGTCGGTGGGTGAGTCCGGTCCAGGTGGTCCCCAAGAAGACAGGCCTCACTGTTGTTAAGAATGAGAGGGATGAGCTCATACCCACCAGAGTCCAAAACAGTTGGAGGGTCTGTATTGACTACCGGAGGCTCAACCAAGCAACAAGGAAGGATCATTTTCCTCTGCCCTTCATTGATCAGATGCTTGAGCGTCTGGCAGGTAAATCTCATTACTATTTTCTTGATGGGTTCTCTGGTTATTTTCAAATTCATATTGCTCCTGAGGATCAGGAGAAGACCACATTCACCTGCCCTTTTGGTACTTTTGCCTATAGGAGGATGCCTTTTGGCCTATGCAATGCCCCTGG